CTTAATTAGATTGTCTTCACCATTGTTAATCTTAATGCTTAGGTTGAATTGATCACTCAATCTGCGATCTTAGGTGAATCTATTCATCAAAAGTGTAATAGGTTGCTAGAAAAGACATTGGTGAGCGATTCGTCCTTGGCTAATGATAGTTGATGCTAAGGTGGATCGTGAACAAATTAAACCTGCTTGTTAATGCTTGTTTGCGATTTATAGGTTCAAACCACAATTTAGAATTTAGGCTGATTGATAAATTTATCGGAGCCACGACAGCGAGTTGATATGTATTTATGTTTGAGTTTGAGGCTTGCATTTAAACCATGCCCTAAATAGTTATTTGATTTGTATCTCTGAAATTCTTGCGAATTGTCTTAATCTAGTGTTTGTTTTAATCGAATTTAAGTCGTCTTTTGTTTTCTTTTACTTGTCACTTTAATCACAACCAAAGCATCTTTTCTCTTAGATTTGTTTCAATCTTTGTAGAGTTACAAGTGTAACCTTGGTCCTTTGGAATCTGAATCTTTTGTACTATAATAGCAATTGTTCTATTGCAATAGAAACTAGAAGATCATATTCAGTGAATCAATATTCAGCTAATTGCTTTATTAAGTTATATCAAAATATTAATATTATATTATTAAAATATCTAATTGAAATTTTCTTCAACATAAAAATGTTTTTATAATGCTTAAAAGTTTTTAATAATAAAAAAATATTTTGACAAAAAATGTATAGAATCCACGTCACTATGCAAATATAGTAATTTTTTAACTTTTATATAAATGAACGAATTCGTTTGATTGTAATACAACTCATTATTACAATATATTTTATAAATTATAATAACAAATCTATCTTGTTTTTTTTAATTATAATTTATTCACAAAATCTTATTTTCTCTTGGATATTAAATTTTTATCTTTATTTATATTTATTCTCAGTTATATTTACTATTGTTAATCATTTCTACTATTATAACAAAATGGTTCTTTTTATTAGAAACTAAAACCCAAAATTACCATAAGTAAGACAGATCTATTATGTATTATATGAAATATATGTGAGGATATATATATGTATATATTATAATATATTAGAGATGAGAGAGAGAGGAGAGGAAGAAGAGAAGGGGAGAAGAGACGAGAAGGGAGAGAAATCATTTCTCTTCTCTTCTATTATTCACTTATGCTTCTTCTCTTACTACATGTTACAAGCACATGTATTTATACAACAAAGAGGCGGTGTCTTTCCAAGTCGGCAAGAAGTAGATATTATAACATTAATAATACATAATTATTATTCTTTTCTAACACTCCTCCTTGATTATCCATTATGTAATCTATTCTTGAAAAATTGATATAATATTCTTTTCGTCTATTAGACTCTTGAATAAATAGTCTCTTCTTTGGATTGATGATTCTTGACTTCTACGTCATCGGAAATGTAATATTTTCTTCTGGTGTCTTAAATATCTTTTGCGTATTCTTTGATGCTTTGTTAAAAACCTCGTCATGGAAAAACCCGATAGGACAAAAACCATGGTAAAAAAAAAATGCATCCACGCTGTTCTTCTTCTGGAAGTATTGCGATTTACATATTTATTTTTTTGCGTTTTTCTTTGCTGCCTCATTAAAAACCTCTTCATGGAAAAACCCGATAGAATAAAACCATGATGAGGGAAAAAGAGTGCAGCCACGCATATAATCACATTTCTCCCCCTGGAAACATCATCTTCAGGAGATGCATTCCAATGATATATACAATCTTTTGGGGAATTTTATAAGTAGAGCCTTAGTGAACAAACTCGTATGATTTCTCAGGTCATTGAACTTCTGGTCCGTAGTTCGAGTTGGTCATGCTCTTTTATTTCAAACTCTTATTTTAACCATTGGAATTCGACCAAATAAAATTTCAAATGCTTCAGACATTGTTGATCCTTCTGGGATTTATAATAATATATTACTGAATGTGATTACATCCATGACCGAATAACATCAAGTTTTGGTCTTTGAAAAAAACTTTATGCCACAAACCGAGTTTTATATCTTGTGACTTTGTTTTCTCATTATTTTTGAACAAAAATCTATTTGGTCTCGAATGACATTACATCTTCAGGTGTAATAATCATAAGTCCAAAAACATTATCTTCTGCTAATTCTTCGGGAATCCTTTCATTTTATTCTCTAATTTTCTTTCTCTTCAGGAGAATTTTAGATTCCATTAGCATCCCCCCCCCTTTTTTTTAAATTGTTCCTTACGTTCATTTACTCTACTCCGATAAATTTTGTTCTTCAGGAACATTAATATTTGTGGAGCACTTCCAAATTTTACAAACTTCAAGATAGCAATTTCTTTAGAAATGTTTAAATTTGAGCTTTTCTATATATTAGATCCTGCTGTGATCTTCGAGATGAGATGTTTAATTGGGATACCTGCAAAATAAAATAAACATAGTTTTCCTAAAAAGCATCATATGTTAGGACTAAATCAATGATCACTTTCTTTGACCTATCTATTGGTTAATCTTAACTAAAACTATTAAACCCAATACAACATATACTCATCAAGTAGAGTTCCCAATTATGATATCATTAATCCCTCAAGGATTCTTTCCTTCGCAATTCAAGTTGTTCATTTTCTACCAGACTTGATATTACTTTTAAAGTTTGAACTGCTGGTCCAAAAATTTCTCATTTTTCATATGAGCTTAGCATAGACTTGATTGCCTTTTCACTCTTTAGCCAATATTTTCACTTTCTACACTCATCCACAAAGGTAGATTTATGATCCTCATTTATAACAAATCGCGCGCTATCTTATTTATTGTCGACCATTATTTTGTCTTTGGTTCCACTTTTTCTGTAATAACATGGTTAATCAAGATCTCTTTATCATTATCAATGATATTATTCATGTACATGATTTTATTATTAACCATAGTAACAGATCTCTTCAGGAAATTCATCCTCTTTTCAACATATATTTGCTCCTTTCCTTTTGAGGATTTTATATTTGGAACCAAAGTAGTCTATCACGTTTCTTACGTGTCATAGATTCTTTACTGATAAATCGTCCTTCAGGGACATATTCTTGGAGCATTTTGAGCTAGAATTGAGATTTTCTTTCATTGTATGTCTGACATTTACATATGAATTATCCTTTGAACATCAGGTTCAAAATCGTTTATTCGAGGATCCATAATGATACTTCATTTCATGAAATCTCATTCATTAACTCTTTCATACCAAAACATGGAGAAATTCACCATTGTTGATCTTGCAATCTTCTGGATCGCTTTATAAATTATCTATAAAACTCATTTCAAGTGTGAACATAATATTCTGGATGTTCGACTACTTTTGATATGGGAGTTTTTAATTCTCTCCCTCGAGATGATGATACTTCAAGTTCATCCATCTCGGAGTGAATCCCACTTTAGGACCAAAACATATCCAAATAACCCATCTTTGGGCCTTGTATTATGCATCAAATCATTTTGTGGGACTCTTTATACTTTCTTTGAGATGATGGCTTTACTTGCTCATTCATCTTAAACCGATTTCGGTTTTGGATATATTATATAATTTGGGGGACTTTTAAAGATATCCAACCATTATAACTAATAATCATTCAACCAAAAATGGTGATTTATCTCTCATGATGGTTTTTTTTTTCTCTTTTCATCATGACATGCTATGTGTGAAAAACTTCGGGTTTTTACACATAAATTCTCAATACCATTATTACACTGGGATGGATGAAACCGATTATGTTATTTACTAGTAAACTTCAGGTTTACTATCTTAAACAATTTTCCATCTTTATGCATGTCTCCATCATATATTTTTCTATAGCATTTCGTTATGCTGGAACGTTTCGTTCTTCTGGAACGTCTAGCTCTTCTGGAGCATTTTGCTTATCGGGAGCGTTTTGATCTTTTGGATCTTTCCATTATCTATAAATTTTTCTCTTCAAAAGCGTTTAGTTTTTCAAGAACTTATAACTTTTTATGAGTTTTTTGCTCTTTCGAAACTTTTAACTCTGTTAGAACTTTTAACTTTTCTGTAGGTTTCAGCTCTTCTGGAGCTTTTATCTCTTCCAGAGATTTCAACTCTCCTGGAGTTTTTAGTTTTTCTGAGCTTCTAACTCTTTCGAAAGTTCTAACTTTTAAAGACATGCATGTTTCATTGTCTTTAACCATATTAATAAAATAAATTAAATAGTTAAACATAAATAAATAACGAAACAAATAAAAATTAAAATAGTTAGCATATATGTTAATCGTGTTCTAGACGAAAGTTATTAAACAGTTATTCAGGAACGTTTTTATATATATTCTAGATATATATTTTTCATATAGTTCTTTTGGAACTTTTTTTCATATATGTCTTCGGGACATTTTTAAGTATGTCTTTTGGACATAATATATTTTTCTTAGTTCTTCAGGAATTTTTTTTAAATGTATTCGGGACATTTATTATATTGAGGTAATGATCTGAGAAGACAACTACCATATGATCATAAACCAACCATATATTTGATCTGAAGAGATATAGTTTACTATAACGATCGGTTCAGAGAAGGCAGCGCCTATCATCCCGACCATAGATAAACGTAAATCGTGATGATAACGTATTATATATTATATGAAATATATGTAAGAATATATATATATATGTGTGTTTGTATATATATATATATGTATATATTATAATATATTAGAGATGAGAGAGAGGAGAGTAAGAAGAGACGAGAAGGGAGAGAAATTATTTCCCTTCTATTATTCACTTATTCACTTATGCTTTTTCTCTTACTTCATGTTACAAGCACATGTATTTATACAACAAAGAGGCGGTGTCTTTCCACGGTAAGTCGGCAAGAAGTAGATATTATAACATTAATAATAGATAATCATTATCCCTTTCTAACAAGATCGCAAATGTAAATGGTTTTTATTCATCATATAAAACGCAAAGAACTGTAGAAAGAAGAAAGACGTGGCGCCAACGCGTATGTTTACAGCGTCACACTCATCGTCTCTTATTATATATATCCAAAACCCATCTCAGATCCAATTCAGATCAGTTCGATCGTCTTTCTCAAAACATAACTACAACATTTAATAAAAGCAACAACTTCGGAAAATCTAAGGTACATAAGTTCTTTTTCTCTTCTTTACCGACCATATGATCTCTGACCCAAAAGTATTATGTTTCTTATGAATATTCCCTGTATTTCCAGTCTTCTTATATATCTGAAAATTTGGGTTCTTTTTTTATGATTTACTGCTCTTTACTTGGTAGATTGGGGTGCGAACAAAAAAATGAAAGGCTTAAACGTGTTCTGTCTAGCTGTTTGTTCTGTTAAGAGTCAAGCATCGTAAATATAAGTAATAAAACCAAAGGTCTCAGTATATTAAAAATCAAAGATCAAAATAACAGAAAGAATGGCTTAAACTTGTTCGATTTGGTCGTCCCTGCTTCCAAACTTATTGTTAATGCACGAACCGCATATAATTTGGTTGCTGGTCGGTTTGGCTTTAGATTCGTGAGAAATTTGCAGAGAGTCTCTTATATATATGCTTCCATTCTCATCCACAACATTATTTGTAAAAAAAAATCTTACAAATGTTTTCATCAACTTTCTGAATATTCTCGATTGTTGATTGACAAACTTCCGTATGATCCATTGACGGGTCAACTGATTTAAAGTATTTGATTGGTTTTGATTATATGATATCCTTGGCCACAGAAAAACGAATTGAACTGTAGAGAGAAACCATTACTGTTGCCAACAGTTTTCTATTATGAACTATTTTACAATAAAAGTGTTTTTTGTCTATTAGGGAATTATGTCACTGAACGAAGAAAATGTCAAGAAAGAGAAACTTCATGTAAACATGAAGACGCAGGAAGTGGATTCAAACAAGAAGGGAGAGAATGTTGAGTTGGAGATGGAAGTAAAGGCCAAGTCTGTTGAGAAGGTTAAAACAAAAAACAAAGAAGAAGAGAGTGGAGGGAAATCAAAGAAGGAAAAGGAAAAAGAAAAAATAAAGTACAAGAAGGATGACTCAAAGGTAGAAGAAGATAAAAATGACAAGAAGAAAGACGAAGAAAATGTTTTCAAGAAACATGGGAAACATAAAGAAGGGCATGGAGATATGGAAGTGGAAGAGCAAGATGAGGAAAAAAAAGATAAAGAGAAGAATCACGAGGAAGTATTGCAACGAAAGGAGTTAAAAGAAGAGTTAAAAGAAGAAGGAGAAGGTAAAGATAAGAAGAAAGAGAAGGATGAATCAGGTGCAGAGGAGAAAAAGAAGGCGGCTAAAGAGAAGAAACCGAAAGAAGAATCCAAGAGTAAGGAAGACAAGAAGATGAAAGAAAAGAAACTCAATGGTGCAGAGAAGAAGAATAAAAAGGGAGAGAAGGATGAGCCTAAGGAAGAGGTTGAAGGAAAGAAGAAGAAAGAGAAAAAAGAACATGATATGGAGGCTATAGACAATATTGTAAATGTGAAAGAGCAAAATGAAGAAGACAAGAAGAAAAACAAGGGTATAGAGACGAAACACGAGGATGTATCACCAGGAAAGGAGGGGATAGAAGAAGAAGAAGCCGCCAAAAAAAATAAGAAGAAAGAGAAGGATGAATCAGGTGCAAAGCTAAAAAAGAAGAATGCTGATAAAGAAAAGAAGATGAAAAAGGGAGAGAAGGATGAGCCTGAGGAAGAAGATAAAGGAAAGAAGAAAGAAGATGCTGGAACAGATCAAGAGAAGAAAGAAGAAGATCATAAGGAGGGAAAGAAAAAGAAGAATAAAGATAAGGCGAAGAAAAAGGAAATGAATGAGATTTATGAGAAAGAAGCAGAAGATGAGGATGAGGATGAAGGACAAATGAAGCAGAAAAAGAAAAAAGAGCCAAAGAAGAAGAATGACGAAAAAGATAACAAAGATGACAAGAAGCAGCAGGAAAGCCTTGACACTGAAGTGTTATCCAGAGATACTAAATCTGAAGAACCAGAAGCTAAGGCAGAGGAAGGCAACACAGAAGAGAAGAAGAACAAGAATGGAGAATTTGGAGAGGGTGATCAAGAGGGGAAGAAAACAAAGAAGAAAGAGAAAGAGAAGAACAAGAAGAAAGAATCAAAGGAAACGAAAAAGATAGAGGCTGAAGAAGATATGAAAGCTAATACTGACGTCACAGCATCTTCCAAGGGTAAAAAAGCAAACAAAGGAGAAGAAAACAAAGAAAAAGATGTGAAGAAGCTTAATGAAATCAAGAAGAAGGGTAATGGCATTGGTAAGCTGAAAATGAAGCTGGAGAAGATTGATGGAAAAATAAAAGCCTTAATGGAGACAAAGAAGAAATTGTGAATCAGATTAGAAGTGCAGAGGGAGAGCAATGATGGGAACACGGAAAAATGTTAGTAGAGACATAGCAACATGCAGGTAGAAACTGAGGCTAACATGTTTCTTGACAGTTGCACTGGACTTTTTGTTTTTCTCTCTGTTGAGTTGTGACAAATTAGTTTGGTTATTGTACCTTTGATGTTTTACATCCGTGTAATTCTTTATGTATTGTAGTCCTTTTTGAAAAGAAAAAATTAATCTCGAGTCTTGATTAGTCCTGAGCTAAAATACGATCCGAAAGGACCTCGGTCACATTGTGTTTTTGATTTAGGTTCGGATTCATCTGGGACCCGAATAACCCGGAAAAAACATTATGTTCATAAGATTTCAATTTATTTCGCATTTAGGATGATAAATGTTGGTGCGTATTGAATGTGTGTAGTAAATTTACATATTATCAATATCACATAATGTGATTCACATTTTTGAACATTCTACTCTCTCTCTCATTTTTTTTTATCTTTTACCATTATTAAGTGTAAATAAAAAGAAAACATGGAAGACCTGGATCGACAATTTTTCCCCCGGTCACCGACACCGACTCTTCCAAATCCAAATCTCGAAACAGCTTCATCGAGAAATCAGTTGCAGTTCCAGAAGAAGCAGAAGATGAAATGGAGACTCCTGCACCTGCATCTGAAAACAAAAGAAAATCAAATCCGAAAAGTGCAGCAGGAACTTCTTTTCCATCTAAGGGGAAGAAGAGAAATACAACACTATCATGAGAGAAGAATCAAGAAGAAGAGAAAGTTTCTGTGTATTCGATTGATTGTTTTGGTACAAAAGAGTATTTATACTCAGTCACACTCTGGTTAATCAGTACATTGGTTTACAATCTAGCTAATATAACCGAAGTAAACCACATATTCTGATATTCCCCTCAAGATGGTGAGAATATTGAAATGAGAGCCATCTTGGATAATAACTTGTTGAATTGAACTGGAAACAGAGCTTTTGTAAAAACATCTGCGAGTTGTGAATCCGTGCGAACATAAAGTAGTTTGATCAAACCATTTTCTACACGTTCACGAACTTGATGACAGTCTAACTCCACGTGCTTCGTGCGCTCAGAAAGACGGGGGTTTTTGCAATGCTCATTGCAGCTGTCGAGTCGCAGAAGAAAGCCACAGGATGGTTCTGAGGGACCTGTAGCTCAGTTAGGAGATTGACGAGCCATTGAATCTCTCTACTTGCAAAGTTCATGGCCCTGTATTCAGATTCTGCTGAAGAATGTGAAACTGTAGGTTGCTTCTTAGTCTTCCAAGAGATTAGAGATGGACCTAAGAACATGCAATATCCAGATGTAGATCTTCATGTATCAGGACATGAACCCCAATCAGCATCAGTAAATCCTTTTAACACGAGATCTGAATCTGCTGAATATAACAAACCAAGTCCTATTGTTCCCTTCAAGTAATGCAACACTTTGAGAGCAGCTTTCATATGAGATTGTTTCGGTGCAGATGTGTATTGACATAAACGATTAACCGCATATGTGATATCAGGGCGTGTTATTGTCAAATACATCATCTTTCCCACCAATCTTCTATATGATTCAGGATTTTCCATAAGAGGTTCCTTGCTACCTAGACAAAGCTTCACATTTGGATCCATAGGGACACTAGATGGTTTGCAGGCTAGTAATCCAGTTTCATCTAGCAATTCTAACGTATACTTCCGTTGACAAACATAGATCCCTGAGGCATTCCTAGCTATTTCCAGACCAAGAAAATACCTCAATGGACCGAGATCACGAACCTTGAAAAACGTCTGAAGATCTGTCTTTAGTTGTGAAACGTCATCATCATCATTGCTGGCTATAATAATGTCGTCTACATAGACGAGAACAGCAGTGTATTTCCCTGCAACATTTCTCACAAAAAGAGTGTGATCGGCATGAGATTTATGGAATCCAAGCTTCAAAAGTGTGGCACTAAACTTGAGAAACCATTGTCTTGAAGCTTGCTTTAATCCATATAAGGATTTTTGTAGTTTGCAGACTGCATTCGGAGGTAAACATTCCCCCTGTCTTGGTGTGTATCCTGGAGGAAGAGTCATGTATATTTCTTCATCCAAGTCACCATTGAGGAAAGCATTGGATATAGCAAGCTGACTTAAGCTCCATTTCTTTGCAGCTGCAACAGATAATAAGGTCTTAACCGTTGTCATCTCGCTACAGGCGAGAAGGTGTCTGCAAAGTCAACTCCTTCCTCTTGTGTGTAGCCTTTAGCGACTAATCTTGCTTTATAGCGTTCCAAAGAACCATCGGAATTCAGCTTGACCTTATAGACCCATTTACAACCAATAGCGTGCTTGTTGGGAGGTAATGAACAAATGACCCATGTCTGTGATCTCTCGAGAGCAATGAGTTCTTCATTCATTGCCTGAAGCCATTCATCAAACTTTTTGGCTTCTCTAAAGGTAGTTGGTTCAGGATGCATCGTGACAGAACAAAGATATGTTTTATAGTCTTCAGATAGTTGACTATAAGACACATAATTCACTAACGGATAAGGAATGTCTGTTTCTGTCACATTGCAATAATAGTCTTGAAGATAAGCAGGTACCTTGGTGGATCGTTTGGACTGAACTGGTTTGTCTGTCCCATCTGAACTGCTGTCGCCTATAGGATGGAGGTCAAAGCTCCCCGTACGCTCAGAACAATCACTCGCAACAGAGGTAAACAAAGGTTCAACATTGATAGAAAGATCCGGGGGTATGGATGATTTTCCAAACGGGAATATATCTTCATGGAACACCACATTGCGTGAAATATGAATCATATTTGTCTCCAAGTCTAGAAGCTTGTACCCTTTGTAGCCTGAAGGATACCCGAGAAAGACACAAGCTCTAGCACGAGGTTGAAATTTTGTTTGATTCTTTGATGATGTTGAACTGTAGGCCAGACACCCAAACACCCGAAGACCTTTGTAGTCAGGAAGCTTAGATGTGAGTACCTGAAATGGAGATTTGTTCTGTAGAAGAGGTGCAGGAAGTCTGTTGATTAGAAAAACTGCAGTCAACACGCAATCTCCCCAGTACTCCAAAGGTATATTTGCTTGAAACATCAAAGATCTTGCAACATTCAATATATGCTGGTGTTTCCTTTCGACTACAGAGTTCTGTTCTGGTGTCTCTGGACATGAGTGAAATGACTGGATACCTTTCTCTTTGAATAGCTTCTCAAACTTGAGTTCGGGAGCATTATCAGAACGTACTCCTTTCACTTGTACCTTGTACTTAGTTTCCACCATCTTCAAGTAATCTGGAAATACAGTGAGAACGTCAGATTTTGTTTTGAGAAGATAAATCCAAGTCACTCTGCTATGATCATCCACGATAGTGAGGAAATATCTGTATCCTTCTGGTGTGGAAACAGAAATTGGTCCCCATATATCAATATGTAGGATATCAAAATTGTTAGCACAAATATTGTTGTTGGAGACGTAGGATAAGTGTTTTTGTTTGGCAAGAGGACAAATGGGACAATGAAATGTATTTTTATTCCTTTGTTTGATACCCAATACATCTGTAAGTAGATCGATTCTAGATACAAAGGGATGTCCTAAACGTGTGTGCCAAAGACAAGAATCAACAACAAGATTTGTAGAGAAAGATAGTTGATGTAAGTTCTCCGGAGATATGCGAGTAGTGTCCAACACATATAGATTTGAAATCTGATCACCCTGACCAATCGTCAACTCCTTGGTATGATCCTGTATTAGACAAGTAGCTTCATCAAGAATTACTCTGCATTTTAAATCTCTGGTTAGTTGACTAACACTCATCAAATTCAGCCTGAAACCCGGAATGAACAGAACGTTTTTCAACAACAAGAACTGATTTAGCCGGACAGTTCCAATTCCTGCTATTTTAATGTTTAGACCTGTTGGAAGTGTCACTGAACTACTCACTGAATTGTTCAAGTCCAGAAATAACGAACGATCATGTGTAACATGATGAGTCGCTCCACTGTCTACAATCCAAGATTCCGAAGATAAAGCATTCCTAGTGGCTATTAAAATCCCAGCAAATTTTAAAGTATTTGAAGAGAAGGCCATACCAGGGAGAGCTGTAATTGTAGCACCTGAGGATGAAGCGTTCGAGTCACTTGTTGGTGTTTGTAGATGAGTGCTAAAGTAGGTAATTACTTCCTGAATTTGATCCTTTGTAAGACTGTTGATCATACTTGTGTCAGATACATCATGAGTGACTTGAGCGACCATAGGTTTGGCTGATGTAGTACTCTTATCAGATGCATTTGACTTTGTCTTGTGTTTAAATCCAGGAGGATACCCATGAATCTTGTAGCATTTGTCCACCGTGTGACCATTGTAGCCACAGTGACTGCAGATAGGTCTTGGTTTCTGATTCGGATTCTGTGTCTGAGTAGCATTGATAGAGGCATTCTCAGGTAGAGCAGAAACGTTGAATGCAGAAGCACTTTGAATAGGACTTATGTTCCTTTGATTGTAGTCTTGGCCCAAGAGATTGTAGACATCAGCTAAATCAGGAACAGTCTTCTTCATGATGATTTAGCTTCGTGCATGAGCATAAGATTCATTAAGGCCAGCAAGGAACTTAATGACCTTTGTGTGCTCTGCTTTTGTTGTAGTAGCTCGGCAACAATTACAATTCTGACATGTCTTCACACAATTTGCTCCATCAAGCTCATCCCATAAGGTCTTTAGCTTCGTATAGTAGGTGGATAGATCCGTAGATCCTTGTTGAAGAGACCAAATTTGTTGAGTGAGTTGGTAAGATCGTGGTAGATTCGTGACATGGAATCTTAATGTCAGATCTTTCCATATTTCAGAAGCATCATTGAATCTCAGAATAGTACCGTATATCTGCTTGGTGACTGAGTTCAATATCCACGATATTACCATAGAATTGCATCTAGACCAAATTCTATAGTGAGGATGAGATTCCGAAGGGCGAGGAAATGAACCATCAACAAATGCTAACTTATTCTTCGTGTCTAAAGAAATTGTCATGGCTAGATTCCAAGTGTTAAAGTTGGTTCCATCGAGTACCTCAGTGATGAGAGATGTTCTCGGATTGTCACCGCTCGTCAAGAAATACGGAGAGTATTGAATTCCTTTGAAATCGAAGCTTGTCGATGACAATGCTGGTGGAATATCCTCATGAGCAATGAATGATGGCGGCGGAACGGTCGCCGGAGCTGGATTTGTGTGAATAGACACCGGAATAGGT